CCCCCCCACCCCCGTGTGCCTGTGATCCACCAGCCCAGCCCCTGGGCCATTTTCAGGAAGAAACCAGGGACTGGCACAGGACTGGAGCCCTTGACCCAGCCGCTCCTGGGTGTCACCTCTGCTCTGCAGGGCACCCCCCTCTGGGAGGCCTGCATAGGGGTTCCCAGCACTGCTGGGGGCGCTGCGGCAGTGGAGGGATCCCAGGACTGGATGGTAAAGAGCAGACTCCACCTGGAACAGATGCTTCCTCCACTCAGCCCTCCAGGGGGTCTGCTGGGGCTCCCAGGGCTAAGAATTCATTCTGAACTGCCTCCTTTCCTCTGCCTCTGCCCCCCACAGCCCTGCACACACAGGCCCCAGCACCCCACAGGTGGTACACTTCACATGGAGCCTGGTAGGGTCTGGGTCTGACCACCAAGCTTGTCCTGTGTGGGGTGCCAGGGTAGCCACCTTCCACTGGGCTGAGGGCCGTAAAATGGCGAGGGGCTAGATAGCGGTGCAGCTGTAAAAGGCAACACTTGGTGAGGTTGCCCCACGTGGGAAGATTCTGGGTTCGAGTTCAGAGACCTGAGTACACTTGCCACGTGTGCCCATGACCAGACTCACGTGGCAAGATCCTGGTAGGGGCGCTTGCTCAGGCTCTCTCTCACTCAAGGAAGAAACAACTTTAAAAATGAAACAAAACCAAAAAAAAAAAAAAAAGGACCAGCAGGGGGCATGGTGGCTAAGGCGCTGGACTCCCACGTAGTGGACTGCAGTTTGAGTCCCGGACCTGGCAGCTTGAATATCGTGCCAAGTGCATGTGTGCGTGTCTCAAATTCCAGGAGAATGGAGAAGGGATTGCATCATGCCAGGTGCATGTGTGCGTGTCCCAAATTCCAGGAGAATGGAGAAGGGATTGCAGGGCAGCCATCATGGGGGGGATGGGGGTGGTGGTTTCCCTTTCCTTTTCACTGTCTGACAAGCACAGGTACGTGGTCCTATGGCAAAAACTAAACAAAAGCCTAACACAGGCAGGGGAACAGAAGATGCCCATGTCCACCAGGGATCCCCCTTAATTAATGCTGATGCCGGGGCCGAGTGGGTCCAGTGGAGCAGGCCAGGTAATGTGTGGGCCAGCAGCCGGCCCAGAGCGGCCCCACAAGACAGGCCTCACTCACCAACGCTGCTGCTATGCCCCGGGCCCAGATGCCCTTTCCCCTTGGAGAACTCAGGTACCAGCAAGAAGGAAAAGCTGGGGGAAAATGGAGGCTCCCGTCTGCAGCCCAGCGCAGACCCGGGACATGAGGTTGCACGTCTGCTTCTCACCTGCGAGGTCTGTTCCAGCTCCCCAGGCCCTCTGCCAGCAGGCACCCCCCTGGAAACATGCTGGGCCAACGGTCTGCAGTCAAGGGGCTTGACCAGGGCTCGACCCTGGGCTGTCCCCGCCCCACCACCCCTGCACAGCTCCCTTTCTGCACCCAGGGATGGTCAGGCCCTGTCTGTGACAAACGCCTCTCAATTTGAGTATGCAGGTCTTCAAAAAGTTCATGGAAAATGCATACTAGGAAAACAAATGGTGCATCAGAATTCATCTCATTACTCCCTAACTTTGAAGTCCCCTTGTAGGTGACAGCACTAGTCTCCAGACAGCCTGAGGGTCCTCCTACCATCAAGGATTCCCTGACACTTCTCCCACCTGTGGCAAAGAAGTCAGTCAGCTGGAGTTTTTTTTTTTTTT